CCTGCTACTTTACCTAATTCATTTATGAGTTCTAGTAGGTTTTTTCATGGAATCATTAAGGTTCTCTTTATACAGTATATGATGTCATCTGCAAATAATGACATTTTTACTTTTTCCTTCCCAGTTTGGATGTTTTATTTCTTCTTCTTGTCTGAATGCTATGGGTAGGACTTCCAGTACTACACTGAAATAGGAGTGGTGAAAGTGGACATCCCCATCTTGTTCTTGATCTTAAAAGAGATGCTTGTAGTTTTTACTGTTTATTGTTTTCTAACTGTTGAGTTTTAAGAATTCTTTGTATATTGTGGATAATAGTCCTTTATCAGATGTGTCGATATTTTCTCCCACTCTGTGGCTTGTCTCTTCATTCTCTTTTGAGTAACAGAAGTTTTCATTTTAATAAAATCCAATTTCTTAATTATGTTATTGTATTGTATTTGTACAATACAATTTGTATTTGTATTGTATTGTATTGTATTGTATTTTCAGTATTGTACATAAGCACCCATCACCAAATCCAAGATTACCAGGGTTTTCTCCCATGATACCTTCTAGAAGTTTTAGAAGTTTGTGTTTCACATTTATACCTGAGATCCTTTTTGAGTTAAATTTTGTGAAAGGTATAAGGTCAGGATCTAGGTTCTTTGTTTTTTCATTTGTTTTGAGGATTTTTGTTTGTTTTACAGGTGGATGTACAGTTATACCAGTTTCAGTTTCACAAAAGGACTATCCTTTCCTTCAGCTAAGTCACTTTTCCTTTCTGAGCTTTGGTTTCCTAAATGTCTTTGTAACACCTGCCCTTCCCATCTTAGACTAAAAAATGTAGTTACCAATGACGGCCAATGACATAGTAGGGAAAATGTTTTAAAACTGGATTGTGTTTGCCCTGGCCAGGTAGTTCAGTTGGTTGGAGTGCTGTCTTGCTATGCCAAGGTTGTGAGTTCGACCCCTGGTCAGCACACAGACGAGAAGCAACCAGTGAAGGCATAAATAAGTGGAACAACAAACTGATGTCTCTCTTTGTTCCTCTTTCTCTCTCTAAAAATCAATAAATTTAAAAAAGAAAGTAGATTAGTGGTAGAAAATAGCTTAGGGCTGGGAGCCTGTGAGGAAAGTCAGAATGACTGCCAAAGGGTACGGGGTTTCTTTGGGAGATAATGCAAATGTTCTGCACGTGATTGCACAACTCTGTGAAAATGTGAAAATCCACTGAATTGTATGACATGTAAATTATATCTCAATAAAGATGCTTAAAAATAGATCCTGCTTAACAAAGTGTTCTTATTATATCATTAAAAGTGCTTGTGGAGGGTGGTGCTGGTTACACACAGTGTGAATGTACTTAATGCCACTGACTTGTACACTTAAAATGGTTAGAATGGTAGAACTTCTGTTATGTATATTTTACTGTTATAAATTTTTAAATGACTCCTTACACTTATCCTTAGGGTTTGAGGTGCTCTGTTTCTTGGGTAGGAACAGACAGTAAAGTAAGAACATGAAGGACTCTCATCTTGTCTATGTGCAGACCTTCAAGAAAATATTGAAAAAGCTGGATTGGTGACATGAATATTGGCATTGCAATCCAACAATTATTTCAGTTTTCTCCTTTCTAGATCAGTGATATAAGTCTTAGTTTGCAGCAGTTTTTGATAAGTAGAGGGGGCAGGTACTGGCCACCAGCAAGTTGCAGAGCATACATGTTGAAGTTGGTGACTGCCTAATCATCTCAATACCAAAACAAAAATAAAAAAAATTAAATCCCTGTGGTTAAACACTTTTAAACAACTAGCTGAGTCTCTTCAAGCAAGGCCGAGGAGGAGGTGAAATAGATTGATTGGAATGCAATCTTTTTTTCTTTCCTCACCGCTTCCTGGAGGGTGTCTAAGGCCCAGAACCAAGCCCAGTTGCTACAGTCAAAGAAGGGCGGGGACAGGGTTTGTGGTCAGTCATGTGCAAATTAATGTAGAAGCAACAAAAAACATGCACGTTCATATTTCTGTTTCATTGTCAGCGTTTATCCTTGACTATTGTCCTGTGGATCAAATTCACATGAATGGGAAGGGTGCACCGCAGCGAGTTGAGAGGAGGTTTAGTCCTGCTTGGCTTTCTTAGGGAGGCTTACAGATTCAATTCTGCTTTTAGCAGATCAGTAGACCTGAATTTCCAGAGCGGGTCTTCAGGTGGGAGCTGAGATTCAGGGGCTGGAAAGTGCTTGGAGATTCAGTCAAACCAGGCTGTTCTTGCCCTGCACTAGGTGGACACCACCTCCCCCAAATCCTGCTGCTACTGCAACACCTGCAGGTTTTCTAGCTACCCAGGGATGAGAGACCATTCATTTCAATAATAAACAGACACAGACATATATCTCAAGATTGAGGCAAGAAACTGTTTAGAGCAAGAGACTTAATAGTGATCCTTGCAGATCACAATAGGAATTTAACTTCAGGTTCATGACTCACTAATTTATTATTCTTCTTCCTTTTTTAAGAGTTAAGACAGGGGAAGCCCAGGATCAATACCTTACAAATGACAGAAGATGAAGCCCTGAGACAGCCCCCTTTTTCCATAGTCATCCACAACATGGGCCCCTGGATGTCCCTGTTGACTTTTAACAAGTAGATAACCAGATATTTCTCCAGAAAAATGCTTTTATTCAGGAACAGCAAAGAATTGAAATTCAGGACATGTGGTCTAATGGCCTATTGCATGCAAGTCCAGAAAAAAAAGGAGAGGCACATTCCTTTATGCATCATGAACTTAGGAGGGGCTGGTGTAAAGAATTCTGTCAAAGTATAATGACTGTGCATTGGCTGAGCTATGGTAGTCTCCCATTGGCTGAACTGTTACTGGGCAAGGAGGAATCTCTTCTTCCTCATATAGAGGTAGTAATGTAGTACCACTTCCTGTTTGAGATGCAAGGTACTCCTCTTCCTGATGTGAGGACAATGGCATACCCCTGAGAGTTCTCTCTTCTATCCTCCCGACTCTATTTGAACTGACTTTTCTGTTTATTAACTTTCACACCTCCAGTGGCTCATCCTTTTCTGCCAGGCTGGGCTCAGGTGCAGACTAGAGGAGGAGCATAAATTCTCGAGTGAGACGATCTTGGGTTTGTTCTCAGGCCTTGTCATGTGTCAGCTGATTTACACTGAACTTAGTTTCCTCATCTGGACACTATGTCTAATAATTAAAATAGCCACCTTACAGATGTTGTGAATTAAGTAACAATGGTGGTGAATGTTTACTGAGAATAGTGGAAAGCCCAGGCGCTACTCTAAGTGCTTAATTTGTTTTACCTCCCACAATTGTGCTCAGGTAGGAGTTTCATAGCTGGGGCCTGATGGCTGGTATTTTTGAAACCTCTCCAGTTAGTTGAGAACCTCTCCAGTGAAGTTGAGAACCATGGCTGAGTATTAACATTTAGACAGCCATTAACCATTCAGGGTCTCCCCAACAAACAGACCTCGTTCTGTCACTCACTAGCTCATTTGGCCAAGTCTTTCAGCCATTCCAAGGCCTCAGTTTTTTTATCCACAAGATGGGAACAAAAACAGCACCCACTTCTGAGGTGAAATGAGCTAGTTGAGGTGACTCTGTATGGCACATACAATATTTGATAAATGTTAGCTGTTAATATTAGGCCAACTTTTTCTTAGGTGACTGAGAATCTGAAGACCTTCAGACCTTTATGCATAGGTCATTCTCAATTAGTTTAAATTCATTGTCTTTCCAGCCACATTGTTTATTTCAAATCCTAATTGTTGGGGGAAGGGAGGCTAGTATGTCATTGTGGGAAAATCCTGTGTTTGGTCCAACAGGGCTGAGTTGAATCTTTGTTTGAGTCTCAGTTTCCTCATCCATAACCCGGGATAACAAAACCCTGCATTGCTGTGAGAATTAGAGATAATTCGTGCAAAGGACACAACATTTAGGTTTTGCACTAATGCCAGTGTTTTGTTTATAAAACATAGAAGATGTGAACAAAAAGGAGGGAAATGTTTTAAAAAATTCAAATAGGAAACAGGCAGAGCATGAGGAGCAGATGGAGAATGAGGAAAACTGGGAAAGGCCTGGAGCTCAGGGTCCTGGGTCACCTAGGTCACAGACCTCCTCCACATTAGCACCTCCCAGGCTTGGCGCTGGCCAGGCACTGGCGACTACCAACCTAAGAGCGTGGCCAGGGTCGCGAGCAATGTTGTTATCCCTACGTAGGGCTAGGCCAGACCCACCCCTGCCTTTTTGTGCAGAATCTCCCCACATTCTGCTGGAGGCCTGTTTTGACCCAAGAAGAACTCCTGCCATCTGATTTGAGGAGCTGACCCCGGGGCTTCGGTGCAGATCTGAGCTCCTACAGGAAGGGACAATTCCTTCTCCCAGACTCCTTTCAAGGGAAAATAGCATTTTATTTGCCACAGGCAGTCTGAAGGCTGTCTTTAAAAATTACAGGGGTTATTAGTACTAAATGTAGTCCACATAAATGCTTTCCAATAAAGCATGTCCAGCTTCCTGGTTATCATCTCCCTCTTCTGAATGGTTGGAAATTGGGCATCTGTTCCTTTAAATAAGAAACATTTCTTGTGAGTCACCTCTGTTCTGTCTGAGAAATAAAGTTTATTATGTAGTTCTTTCTGTTGAAGAATTTTCTTTCTCACTGAACACCGGATTCCGCCCCTCTGCAGCAGGGAAATGCTTTCACCGTTTTCTCTTGTGATTTTTTTCAAGCCCTGCTGAATTTGCTGGTAAATTAAGAACAGAGAAACAGGAAGTGAGTTTTGGAGGAGGCAGAAGAGCCTGGTAGAAGGATCGAAAGTGAAAGAAAACTTTTTGGAGGCAATTCCATTCCCACCCTTCCTTCCTGCTCTGTTTTAAGGGATTTTTCTCTGGTTGTGCGGACACGTCTTAGGAATTTGAGCATGCGAATTAGGCAGTTCGGGGGCATCTTGGCATCGGGGACTTGGTGACTGTGATGTTGCTGGGACAGGGTGGAGCAGGTGAGTGCCTGGTGCAGAAGCGGCTTCTGGATATCCCGTTGCTGGGACTTGCTGAGTGAGGACACCTGTGCGTTCTGCCAGGATCTTCTCTTGGAACTGCAGCCACCGGCCTTGCTACTTCTTATCTCTGGAAATCTCCAGTTCCTCTGCTACATTTCTCAGTCCTCAGAATCTCCTCAGCGGCCTCAAGTACAGACAGTATCTCTCTCCTGCCGGATCAGTGTGGAGATGCCACAAGACTTTATTATTTTTATTTTCTTTTCCATTCGGCCCTGGGACGGAGGGCTGAGTGAAACTTTCTTCTCTCACACCCCAGTGCCCTGAGGTCCTCGGTCTCTAAGGCCCGCAGTCCCCTTCTGCCCCTGCCCCGTTCAGGGAACTTTCCTGATCCCCTCTGCCTGCTCCTTTTGATGGCTCCCCAAAGACAACTCTTTAAATCTTCTGATACATACCCCTGAATTGATGTGTATCTTAGCACAATGTATCATTGCTTTGTGTGTATACACTATTTTTTAACTATATTACCTGGAGCAAGTAAGTACTTTCTCTGTGCTTGTTTCCACTTCATTAAACGGGGTTCACGCTGCATCGGGAGAGGTGCATTCAACGACTTTCAATCAACGGTGACTGGCTCCGTACCCAAAAGTGTTACCAACTATCGTTACAAACGTAGTACTTGTATTAGTTCCTCATTCTTTCTTTCTTTCTTTTTTTTTTTTTTTAAGTAGCACTCTGTGTATTTGTTTTCTGTGTATTTTGCCAGACACTACTTTCTAACCGCTGCGTAGCGTTGCACGATGGGCAGTCTCCCTAGTCCTATGTGAGGACTTGCCCTCCAGTCCTTGGCTTGATCCAGCCTACAACCCTTTCCCAACGTGATAGTTCCGAAGTGGGGATCTCATTGCTTTATTTTGCATTTCCCACGTTCCTGACAAGCTGGAGCAACACCTCATACACTTGGGCTGTTTGAGTAACCCCATCAGGGAACTCCATATCCATCGTCCGTCTACAGGGTTTCTTTATCTTGTCAATTTGCAGGAAACATGTTCTAGATATTATTAGTCCCATGGCAGGTCCTGGGAACACGAACGTGAAAAATGCAGGCTCTGCCCCGTGAAGCTCAAAGCCTAGGACAGGAACTAGTCACAAAACGGTGGGGCAAATGCTGGGATGGAGGCTCCAAAGGCATCAAGAAAGAGTTAGGGACACCTCCTCCTGGCTGGGACTTAGCCACTAGCAGAATTTCATTCTGTTGCTGTATTTTCACTCAGACTTGGTGAGCAGAATCAAGTGGCAGCAATGGAAATCGCTGTAACTATGGCGCCTTTACCTAGCCCTGTACAGGCTTGCAGGCACCTCACTTTATCCTACTAGCTAGAAGATGGGTCTATGTCCCCTGAAAGCTCATTCCATCTAGGGAAAGAAAAAAGGCAGTTTCAAAGAAGAGAGGTGTTTGATCTTTTTTTGTTGATGTTGTTTCTACTTTTAACATCAGAAAACACTTCAACCGACTCACAGCAAAAGGACAGGGCTAATGTGTGTTTTGTTCACTGTTGTACCTCCCAGGCTCAGACCATAACCAGGGCTCCAAAATTTACTCTTTGGTAAGGCTGGCTGGTTGATTCTAGGGTTTTCTAAGTCACTGAGGGTGAGATCTGGTGGCCCTGGGGCCCGTGGAGCTGGTCATTGTATTTGAGTGTTGACGGGAAAACCACAAGGGTTAGCGGTGGGAGTTAGCAGACCCTCTGTGAGCTGTGGTGAGGGACCCCACTGTTTCCAGATCTCAATATCTCTCAGAATTGCTCAATCAATATTTACTGAATGAAAACATTAATAATAAAACCAGAAATATCTGTAAATTCCTGAAGTATGAAAAGAAAGCATTCTTAGCATTCAGTCTAACTTTCCAGCTTTGGAATATGGTGACGTGGCCCCTGAAATAAAATGACCCACCCATAGTCACACAGCCGGAGCCAAATGTGTTTTATGTTTCTAGAAGCTGTAGGAGGAGTTACTGGGTTTAAAACAGGAAGTCAGTGCTCTTAACCCTTCATTCAGTCTGCACTCCTGCCTTAGCTGCACGGGCCAAAACCAGCTGGCTGTGAGGGTCCCGGGATTTGCCTTCGGTAAGTCATTTGGGCCTTTTGGGAGGAAGACCTTTGATTCTAGAGTTTTCTAGGCTGCTGAAGTTGGGATATGGTGTCTGGACCATTGGAAGTGAGCCTTGTATTTGAGTGTAGGCGGGAAAACCACTAACAATCTCTTTAGAACCTCCAGGCCCACAGATTCCAGATCTCAAGGCCACTCTAGCTTAGGGTGACGCCTTCCTGGGGGGTTTTCTGGAATGCTCTGAGTACAGTGCTCTATAGAGAGGTCTCATCCTTATGCTGATGAAACTTGTCGAGGAATAGAAACCAAAATTTAGATCTCAACTGACTGCTGCTCCAGCGAACCCTTTGTCAATATATAGCCACCCACATATATATACACACTAACACGAACACACACACACACATGCAAACATACGTGTGACATGCAAAAGTCCTAAAAATTCTGTTATTTATTTTTTGAGAAATTAAGACAGTACGAAGTAGTACAGAGAATAATGTAATGGCAAGCATAAACTGACAAAATTGGAGGCCATACTTGTGGGGTTAAGCATTTATAGGTGAAGTTATGAATTTTGTTTAGTTTGAAATTTATAGGGTTGGTTACACATTTTGTTGAGATTTGAACACTTTTACTAGGCTGTGTGAAAGCACTGGTCTCAGGGCCCTGGAGTGAGTGAGCAGTGTTTGTGTGCAGAGTGGACATCTGGAGTTTCTGGGTGGGGGGGTCCTCACTTTGCTGTGGTCATCCTGGATGGGATGAAATAGCACATTATTAGGGGTTGGGCCTAAGAGCCATTTTAGTACTGTTGCGCTTTGAATGAAATACAGGTTTTTGTATTTCATTAATCTCAGAAGATTAATGTAAGTTTTGGATTTATTTTCCTCAGTTATCCATATTCCTAGAAGAACTAGGATGCTGCTAGAATATCGCTAGAAGAATTGTTTGTGATTAGATGAAATTTATTTGTCATTAAATTGTGGCGTATGAGGCAGTGGTGGGGTTGTGACTCGGAGTTAGATGCTGGGGTCTGCCTTCAGGCTACAGCCCACACCAGCTTGGTTTGTGAAGCTCTGCACTCGCTCTGCTCTAGTGGATTTGTTAAGAATTTCTGTTTTTGTGTTTCAGGGTAGGTTTTGGTCTTTTAACGTTTTGAAATAATTTTAATCTTTCAAAATATTATGATTATATATTTTCCTTCACTGGCTTTCAACTGCAATTAGAATACAATCATAATCTTTGCAGAGTCTGTCATTGAAACCTGTAAGTGAGATGCTCAAATCTGAGTCTGACTCATTTCTTACTGGCTTACTTTTAGGTGATTTTTCACAATAGTAAAGTGAGGATAATAATTGCAATTTTATCAGAGACTTGTAGTAAAATGAAACAAGAAAAAATATTTTTATATTCATATGGATTATATTTTATAAACATTTATTTCAACATGAATATTTATTTATAGTTATATTCTTTTTGGCATAAATATATTGTAAACTATTTAATATAATTATATATTATAAAATATTTAATATGCTTATATATTATGTAATGCAAATACATTTGTGTGAATTTATTGTTTACCAGTGCTGTTCATATATAATCAAAAGCAAAAGAAAACTTCCTGGAAGTGTTTCCATCGCCATCCTCTCCTCCACCTTTTATGCATTATATATAAAATATTCAAACAAAAATCTTTTATATATGTATATGTGCACACTATTGAACAAAAATGTTAAAAAATGTTTATTCCTTTTGACTCTGTAATACTACTACTAGGCAATTACTCGTAGAAAATAATCAGGGTGTACAAAGAGATTTGCATGTTAAGATCATTCTAAACGTTATCAGAGACTAATTATGTAAATTATGGTTCATTCATATAAGTAGATGTTTTACAGATTTTGAAATCCATACTGTAGAAGAAAAAAATTAAGACATCAAGATGTACATGCAATATTACCAGTAGAGAAATACACTTATACCTCAGGAATATGGTATGTTCAATTATAAGAGAGTATATATATGCATATATATATATATTTATACACACAAAAATATTTGGTAGGGAAGATGATAAAATATTAGGTGCTTATCTTTGGATGATGAAATTCTAGGTAATTTTAATTTTTCTTTTTATCTTTTCTGTATTTTCTAAACTGAAAACAGTAAGATTGTTATCATCAGAAAAAATAATTGTGGAGGAAAACAAGAGAATGCTGCTTGCATTAGACTATTTGGTTGATTTTACTCTATAAAATAACGTTTACAGATTTTGTTCTGTAAACTTTCTCTAATGGATGCTCCCAGTGGCCTGTGCAAGCAACTCTCACTTTTTAAAAAAAAAAGATTTTATTTATTTATTTACTTTAGAGAGGGGCAGGGAAGGAGAAAAAGAGAGAGACATATCAATGTGTGGTTGCCTCTCAAGCTCCCCTTGTTGGCCCCGTGGCCCACAACCCAGGCATGTGCCCTGACTGGGAATCTAACTGGCAACATTTTGGTTCATAGGCTGATGCTCAATCCACTGAGCCACACCAGCCAGGGCTGTAAAATAAAGTTTTAACAGTGATTAGAACTGATTTAAAATTTGAAAGACACTGAACCTAATGGTACTAAACAGGGCTGGACCTGGTTTAGACCCATTCCGTATATGAGTGAAAATGTGTCTTTAAGTAGAGATTTTAATTTAGATATATGTACATTTATAATGTGCACGGTAAAAATTTTAAGTGGGGAAAAATGTTTCATTTTCCTGTTCACTCCTAGGCCTTCCCACACTCACCCCCAGGCCTCCATTTCCTCTCCTCTGTGGCAACTACTGAGCAGCTTCCTGTGTGTTTTGTTCAAAGATCTGTGACTATACAAATCTATGCACCACTCAATACTGCATTATTTAAATCACACATACCCAACTGTGTTACCCTTTCCATTCTTTTTAATAGTTGAATAGAGTGCCATCAGATGGTTAAAGCTTATTTAACACTTCTGATATCAATTAAATAGTTGGTTCTGCTCCTTTGTTATTGTAAGTAATGTTGCCATGAATAACCTTCCACATATATTTTAGTACACTGATGTTTAAGTTAATGTAGGGAAAAACACCTGGAAGCTACCTTGTGGGGTCAAAGGATATGCACACTTTATATTTTGATAGATATGGCCAAGTCACCCACCTCTTTATTTTATTTTTACTGTCTCACAACACTGTGTATTGCAAGTTTTGTATTTCAACAATTTGGTAGCTGAAAGTGGTCTTTTGTAATTCCAATTTGTTTTTAAAAATTTATTGTGAATGAGGTTGAACATCTTTTCAAATGTGTAAAAGCCATTGTTATAAAAATATAAAGCTACTGGTTCTTGCCTTTTTCTGAACTCTCTGCTTAAGATCTTTACCTGTTAGTGCATTGGATGGTTGGTCAGACTTT